ATATATGAAAACGTACTGAAAACGTCCGTTGCAAAATAGTTCTGTGTTGTTTTCTATAACCGAGAACAACTTAGGCCCTTGAAGAAAAAGCTTTCTGTAATATGATATAGTAAATATAATATTAGTATACTAATATCATTGTATGCAACGTGTGAGTTGTATAATACGTTTGTACATGACGTCTGCCGACAGTCGCAAGCATCAATGCCCTATAAACCTAATCACGTCAACACATTACGGTCGTTCTACAAGTAGATGCGAACTGCGAGGTGTGCCCGCTGCAGCCTGACGATGAATCCCTCCCCCACCGCGCGAGTTTCCGGGATAACCGTCTATGCTCGTGCCGTGTAGGTAATTGTTGCACTTACTTTTACATGGAAACAAAAGCATGGCGTGCAGCAAAAACCTTGAGGCGAGTTATGGTAGAAAATTATGTCGAACCGAAACATTATATATCCGTGTGTCCAATGTTGTCGACTTTTTTTTACCCTTCCCACTGTAGAATCTCAAAACGCCTCTACACCATATACAACTTGAATACACTCCTGTTGTGCAATTTGGGGGATGTTGAAGTCTCTGTTTGCCAGACCGTGAGAAGGCTGAGATCAGAACCAGCGCAAATCTTTCTTCAACGTAAAACACTCACCATTTTAACCGCATCAAAACGTAAACAACTTGTATTGTCCCGTTTGTAACATGCCCTTAACCCTCCTAGGAAACTTGCGCTTGCTGACCAGCACAGTAAAATGGGTATCCCTAATTCAATGGGGGCCCGCAATCCCTTTTCCGTTGAGCGGAATCGGTCGTTTTAATTCTACGTAGAGCGTACACGCATCGTAATTTATCGTAAAACGTAATCAATCATGGCCTTTTCTACCTTCATTGAAGGTAAGAAATGCTCAAACTTTTACTTCAGTTGGAGTACACGAGTGCTCTTCTTCTCTTCTTTTTTATGAAATGTTTCATTCTCTGGATTGTGATTTTTAAAAGATATATTCAGGGAGGATCGATGTGAAATATGTAAGGTTTGCTCGCAAATCTTGTGTAGAACGACGTTCTCTAAAACCCCCAAACAAGCCTCTTGGCTTTTGCAATGCTCTACCGAATACCCCCTCCAGACAGATTGTATCCATTCGCCGCCATAAAATAGTGCGAGGCAAACAGGACACGATTGTTGTATGAAATATGCCAAATATATTGTTAATTGGACAGTTAACACATACCGGTATAAACATTCTGCGTCTTGTTGCGGTAGATTCTATTTTTGCACTTTATTAGTCATAATGTGACCCTCCAGATGTTGGAGCGGATGGATATTATTTGGATACTGCGATCGTCCGCAGATTGTAGCGTCAGTGCAGGGTGACCATTGTAAAGTAAGGATCGGCGTTCGCTTGTCTGAGAATTTTCTCTCGTAAATATGCAGTTGTGGCGTAGAATAGCTGTTTCCGAGCGTGTTTAGGTTT